TTGTAAAGATGTTACTATTTCAACAACAAAAACTTATTTAATTAAATTTTAACTCTTTTTTCTATGTTTAATTCATATTGAATTATGTTTATTATTTCATCATTGTTCTCTGGAAAAATATATGTATATGGCTTATGTAAACGTTTGCCAAATCAGCTATACGATTATGTTTTTCATCCGTGGCGTAGTGGTAATTTTTTTTTAAGGCATGTGGCCCCGGGAGAGAAAAGATAGATTTCCTAGTATAGATGAAATCCAAAACACAGCAAAAGAACGAGGCTAGTCTGATATGTCTAAATAACATTTAATTGATTTACGTAGCCTGTAACATCAAACGTATGCGCTGTATCGCTTCAACCATTTAAACTTTATAACGTTATTTGACCTCATAATAGGTGCAATCTCAACAAGATTGGTTTAGCGAAAACGCTGAGCACTTTATTGGATTTCTGGCGCTTTTTCAGTGCATGTGTCTGCCGACAACCTTCGTAACATAAATATTACACTAAGTAAAGAATTTAATTCTCTTCGTATTTAACAAAAAATATAAACCCGAGACACGAACACTTATGGGTGGCACAATAGATTAATTTTGCAAAAATACATATTATTAGTCTTTGCAATAGTCTTACGAATTTTCGATTAGCTATTGTGCTCTGACCACGGAACAAAAAATAATATACTAATCTAAATAAAACACTTTAACAGTTTAAAATGGGAGACGGGGAGACACGTTTCAGTGTTTTATTTAAATGTGTACTACTCGCATAAACTACAGACAGTATTTAATATACTAATCTTTGGAACTACTAGTGCGATTGGAAAACTTCTTATACTGTTAGGTAGCTCTTTTAATAAGGAAGCTTTTAAAATATATAAACTACATACTAATTTATACAATTAAGGTTTAGTTGCGCGTGATCTTGAATCCGCGACAGAACGCGCACCGCGCGGTTGCTCCGCCAATCATAGGTACCTACATTACTGCTGAAGCTACATTTATTGAAATTCTCAAAAAATAAAATACTTAAGTAATACACCTCTGACAGGTGTGGACACCCGGGGCTCGATGGTAAAAAGCGTTACGAGCAAGCAAGATTTCTGATTCGAATTCTGGGAAAACAATTTTTTTTTCGGGCGTGGAGGGCACGAAAGTCTAAGTATAGATACTCGCATTTAAAAAGTCGATTATTCGGCACCGTTATTTCCGGCATTTGTATTTCTCTGGATTTCATTTAAAGAGTGGTGTTAAATAATTTGTAAAGCAATTGTTCATATACTAAACTTCGAAACCATTTATGCGATATTGAAAAATTCTTGTACTGTTCTGTAGCTCTTTTAATAAGAAAAACTCCTAGACTAGTACATGCCATATAAAAATTATAAGATTACTAAATGGAACGCGCTTAGTGTCGGATCCGCGAGAGATGGCGTAACGTAATTATGGTAATTGTATAATGCAATACTTGTGTTTATGTATAAGAGATGAAACATAATTTTATCTTTCATAAATAAATATATACTAATCTCCAAAAATATTTATTTCATTGGAAAATTCTTTCACTATTATAATAAGAAAGTATTGTACCGTTATAAAACAAAGGTTAAAAATTTATACTTATTTGATTAATTTTATTGAATGGGCTATTTTACTCTTTAAATAAAGTAAGTAAATCTTCCTTTGCCTGTTATGTTAAAATGCAAAAGCCTCCAGAGTTTTTTTTGTGTTTAACGGACTTGTCATTCTGTTTCGCCGAAGTATTTGTAAAATTCCAGCTGAATTCTTTAAAATCGTTCCATATCTCAGCGGCCAAGAGTTTTGCCGTGTCAGACACCAGCTAGTACCGTCACGTCGCCCTTGCCCCGCTCATGCTGCGCATGCGCTGCGCTAGCGTTGCGTTAAAAAAACACGTTAATATTAATTATAAAACTTAATATTACAGTATGTGACATATAAAGTAAAGCTACGTACTTAAGCTACGCTAATTGTCTAATGTTATATCAATATGTCCTTAACACAGGTGGAAGGTATTTTTAATTCACATTGAATTATAAAAATATACTAATCTCCGAAACTAGTTGTTCGATTTGAAAAATTCTTGCGCTGTTATGTAGCTATTTTAATGAAGAGGATTATATTACATAATCACATTTTATTATTAAATTAAGAAACGTAATGAAGCGCCCAGTCATAAACCCGTGGGAGACGTCAAGCGATCTATAAATGTAGTATTGCAAAATGTTGATAGTTAAATATTTATTCATTGATTATTAACATATTATATAATGTTAGGTGTTCGGAGTAAATGTCGTGGTCAGCAAAGTTTGTGTCAAACGCAAAGATTGATTATTTTTAATAGCGTTAAATGAACCGATGTATGTAAATAAAAAAAAAGTATTAAATAATACAAACTTGATAGTACTAAAATCTACATATTTACCTGAGTTTTTCACCGACTACAAAAAATGTACAGAGTCGCTATGAATGATTCACTAATCATTCATAGCGACTCTGTACATTTTTTGTGTGAAACGAACACAGTAAATGTGTTCGCCCCTTTCCCCACCTGGGGAAACGTTACTTCATTACATGATTATTATGATATTACGATCGTCGAATCGGATTGACAAATAAAATTCTGCTCACATTCTCATCTAAAGGTAGTTAATATTGTTGCACATTGAATTTAAATTAAGATATATTTTATAATTTGGGATCAATTTTCAGTATTATACAAGTATAAATACGACAACAGGTATGTGATAGTGTTATCTATGCATATATTGGGGTCGTGAATCTGTAATGCATTTAATAATACTTTTATATAGATTATTACTACCTACCTACCCTCGCTATCTTTAGAATATAGTATAAAAAAATTAAAATAAACAGTTATACCATAAATTTTAGCGAAGCGGGATTGCAATTAAGTCCGTGTGCAGTTTTAGTATCTAGTCTCAATTAGAACATTAGATTAGATATTGTTTTTTTTTATAACTGACTATTAAAAAACGGTTTTAAATGTGAAATAGATATATCAAGATGATTGCTGAAAAGCATCTGAGACGTCATAATATTTTTTTTTAACCTAAAGAGCATTTTTTTATTGGTAAGAGATAATACTAGAACACATACTGGTTTTAAGTGGAAGTCAATTCTCTCTTTTCAGGAAAGGAGGGTTGTTTTTTTATTTTCCAAATTAAGGGATTTTTAAAGATAATGGAAGTCAAATTCTCTCTTCTCATTAATTAAATTGTCGCAAAGTGGCTTCTATATTCAACTTCACAGACAACTATTTCTAGAAGACTACATGTGTTTTATTATTAAGACTAAACAAACAACTCGTCTAATAATCAAAAGGACATGGGTTCGATTCTCGCCAGGTTCAACAGGTATGTAAATTAAAGTAATTTAACTTTTCAAAACATGTTACATTTCTATGAATTAAATGCTTGGTAGGAATATCGAGAGTCCGTTACAGTCACGAAACACCGTCCACAGATGGAAAAGCCGTAAAGTGTAATCGAGTCTGATGGAAGATGAAATACCACACCCCAATAATATCTAATTAAGATGCACTGTCAATCTATTTTGTCATTGGACATTCGGACACATTGGTTCGGTGGACAATACGTTCGTCAAAATTGTAGAAATACAGCGAACTTGAATCTAGACTTTTGCCGGCCAGATGTTATAGTGTCATCTTTAAATTGCATATTTTTTAAACTACCCGCGTTCTTTAAAAAAGGAAAGAAGTAAATAGTTTTGAATTTCGAGTGTTTTAAACATTCTTGTTTGTTACAGGAATTTTTAAATATCAAATTTACTTGATATTTCTATTTCTTCGTATTAAAGTTAAATAGGAAGAACTGGAGTTCTAAAAATCACTGTTATCGATAACATGCAACATGGGGTTAGGGACATCTCTAGTAATATCGTATATATTATTTCACTGCCGGATGATTAAATAGCAACGGTTATTGTAGTCGTTAATGTCTCGGGACGGTTTGACCGCTCTGTTTATGTCAGCCATGCTAACATACAACCTCGTTATTATAACTAGTTCTCGCCAGCGAGTACGTTTGCGTGGATAAGTGATTTCAGATCAGGAAGATACTTCTTACGATATTCCTTGAAGAAATATTTACACGGTTTTAAATGTATCTCTACTTAGAAAGTTAAGAATACGAATTACTTCTTATAACGCATCTGTTATGCGGCATAGAAAATGTAACTTTCTTCCACATAGATTAAGGTCGAAATTACATTGAACCATAATCTAAGGTAGAAAATTTTATGTAGGTGTGAATATCATTTTCTATTAAATATAGCAGATATCATAGCTCACACCTTGGCACTGGTCTCCTCTTTCATATTGGGAGCTTAGGTAAATGCGATAAGCTTCGAATCCTTGAATTCGTTATCAGTAATTCCTGATCATACTATACCGTATGCACACATGAGATCTTTGTATGTACAATTAAGTATAATACGACTATTTAAAGTTTACATCTCCGTGATGTAATGTCATCGTTTCAGAGACCTACTTAAATCATTTAAGTTATACTTACTTATAAATAACGAATTATCCGTAATTAGAGGTAATACATTATAATTACTCTCTTTGCGACGCAAATATCTCTTTGCTTGATGTAATATTTACATAAAAAGAATATTACCGTAGTAATTAAATTATTTATATTATATTAATTGTTACCTAATACTACATGTTTCTGCTTTTAATATGTAAAAACACTAAATCTTTCTGCTTTTAATATAAAAAAATATATTTAAAATAATGATAAAATGAGGGTACAGTTTTAGCCCCTTAACGGTTTTTGCAACTACGATCTGGGTCCAGGGGGGTATAGGTCTTAAAATGGCTTAGCATAGAGTTTTTTTACCATGGCGTCTATCATCAAAAACCGTTTGTCAAAATATGCATCCTAACCTAGCAAACAAAAGCCAGGTGGATATACTTAGAATATTCTTTCTACAGCAGGTGCGCAAGAAGATGGCACCAGGAACAAGCTGCTGGCGCCGCTTCAGGAACAGGATCTGCCGTGCTCTCGGCTTGCCAATCAAGCGCGGACCGTCCAAACCGTCCGATTGGTTCTTGGACAAATTCTCTGCGCAGGAGTTCTACGATAATGACGAGCCTGAAGAGCCCCAGGGCTCCAAGTGGCTGTGCGGTTGGAAGGGTTTCTCTGTTGACCCGACTCATACTGCGCATTACCACGTAAGTGTTTTTTTTTATTTTTATTGTACCTATACTTAATGTTAGTGGAGATTAGGTGATAAAATTATAGTGTGGCTTAGATTTAGAAGTTTAAGGAAGGGGTAGGGGAGCTGGAGGGGGAAAGCGGCGGTTTCGTTATGTAATGCCGTCACTGTTTCTTTGGTTGGTAAAATATTTGCCTTAATATTTAAAGATATATCGTAGCTTTAATAAGATGTACGTAGATAATTCTTTATTTAGCACTACATGATAGAAAATAGATAGGGTTGTGCTCACTGCTTCAAAATTAATTTCATTTAAAAAAATGAAGCTTCTTTATTACTTAACAATATAAAAAATATTATTGAATAAAATATTGCAGTCACACTATAATTTAATATGTAAAATATGCAATAATATTATTAGTATTGTGTTATATACAGCTTTTTATACACAACTGCCTTTTTATGTATGCAAGACGTGACAGACACGCTGTGTATATTTAGCAAAATAATTTGCAAGCTTGCTAGGTCATTGATATTAATATGAATAACAATAATTATTTTGATATAAGTTATAAAAAAAAAACTTTTCGACAATTATCTTCAACAATACTAAGTCCCAGAAAATTTGATTAATTATTAAAATATAACATAAGAATAAAACTCTTTTAACGTTTAAAACAATAAAAATTTGCTACGCTAGCGCCACCTGTTTCGTTGTTTTTTTATTGCAATGTTTGACTTTCACATTAGGGATATCTTCAGTCCCCCTGTGACCACGACTGCTGAAAAGCATCCGAAACGTCGGGACATGGTAAAAATATTTTGTTAATAAGTCTAACAAAAACATTTCACGTTTTAAACCGTTAAAAGTGTTTTATTTAAATGTGTACTACTTGCGTAAACTGCAGACGGTACTTAAATGTTACATTTTTAAAGCTAAATATAAATAATTATATGAAATAATCCGACTGTTAAGGTTGGGAGTTCGATGCCTCGTCGTGCACAAATATTTATCTTTGTGTTGTTTTGAATTGGTGCTTACTGGCAAAGGAATGTAGGTAATGATAAAACCGGCATGTCCCACATTTGGGAGATGAAGGACAAACATTGAAGGCCGTGTCCCAGCTGTGGGAAAAGTTAAAAGCCTGTTAATAACTTGATAGGAAATTGTTATTAGCACACTATCTTTTTTTATACAGAGGAAAAGAGAAATTGAACGGAAGATATTAGAATCCCGCTCCGACACAATTGTCATTATGTAGACGGTATGTATGACGGGCCTCACTATCGCCCTCTGTACCAGGAAACATGGTACATTATGTGTACCTACCCTTTAGGCACATTCTTTGTTAAAAAATCCTACTGTATCCCCAGATACCGTGGAATTTCTATGTACATAAAATAGTATTTGTTCCTTTAATGTTGGCATTTCCGTGGTCATACTTGTACATATAAATTGAGCGAAATTAAAAACGAGTAGTTTTGTTAATCTATTAACATTTGATAGTGATTAAACGTTGGAACGAATTTCTTAAGCTTTATAAACAAATATACAGCAACAACAAGATTAAAAATTATTACCCATTTATATAATTTCTACATAAAGATAATCTTCTTCCTAAATATAATATACGATACAGTGGAAATTTTTACATAAAGAACGAAATGTATCTAAAGGTATCAACTGGTGTTACTAGACAGGGATCTTGTCATTTATGAACATATTAAAACGAGATTTTATAATTCAAACATATTATTATGACGTCACTATCATGTTCAAAATACAATTCTCTATTTAAGTATTTAAAATTAGAATGTTCACATGATCAAAAAAACGGCTGTACGACAAGATCCGCGTCATTTACGGGTCGTCTTTCTTATCGTATACAGCTAGCAACACTGGGTACCACCAAATATTTGTAGCAATACAACGTTTAATAGAAAAATATCTACTGTAAGCAGTGTATTATCTACTACAGGCAGGGTAAATATAAGATAAGCTGCCTGGATTACGTATCAATTTTAGTAACACAGTCCATATTAACATGTGTCAGGCGTATACCAAAACGACCAACGGTTTTGTATAACGACCTTGTTGATCTAGTTTGGACATGGCATGGTCGTGAGTATTATACCCGCAGGTAATTTATTGTATTAAAATTGGTGGTAACCACTCCTGTGTTGCGTGGCTCTATATGTTCAAAGACCGCCTGTACGTACATCCATACATACATACATCGACTAAAAGGAAGCCACATTGGCAATATTATGCATTTTAATGTCCGAGTCATTCTACATCTTTCGATCATTATTATGAGCAAAAATAAAAACTGGCACTTCTGTATAATATTTGCAAATAAACTGTTGTATTTTTAGTATTTTCGTGTCGATGTTCTTAATTCAAAAATAAACAATCTGCTTAGACTAATATTATACAAGTGAAGAGTTTGTTTGTTTGAACGCGCTAATCGCAAGAACTGTTTCAAATTGACAGGCTTATGATTTGGGTGGAACTGTAAAACATCAGGCTGCGACCAACGCGGGCGAAATACAAAAAAATAACAATGTTTGATATTTTTATGTAAATTATCTAAAAAATGTCCGCGATAGTATATGTCTATATTTTAAGATTAACTCGCGAGAACAACGGGACGTTCTAATATTAATAATGAACATACTTTGAAACCTAAGGAAGTAGAAAAGTGCCGGTTTTTATTTTTGTTATATTCGAAGAGCAGATCAACCATATGATTTCAAGATCACTTAAATTAGACGTCATTTTTATCAACTGATTCGCTGTAACCTCTACTTACCTTCCTCGTATGCATGGTTCCTTGGTATCTCACCAACATGTTACATAAGACCATTTGTGATCGTCGCCTAAACAGATATGCTTGTTCAACCGTAGTTAGTTTATGTGGTCTAAGTGAATGAGCAAATGGATACCAAAAGTGCCTTATTAACTTTTAGAATACAGACCATTATTCAACAAAAAACAAAATTTTATTTAAAACATAAGTATGTATACTTGTTTAGATTTAACTTCTAATCTCCAAGTGGAGATCTGCCGGTAAAAACTTTACTTACACTCACTTCTGGTGCTAAAAATGATGTTATACTACACGTTTATTCAGAAGTATCACGACTCGGTAGATGTTACTGTAAAATTTTCAAAATAAAAAATTATAATAAAGTATGAATTATGCCAGGGTGTATTAAGCAATAGACAGAAATTTTGATCAATATGTTCAAGCCAAGTTATTATACTTTGAAAGAATAATAAATATACAATAAACCATAGGCCGTGTTTAAAATATTCCTAGAATTTGTTTCGATCATGCAAGTAATAAAAAAAGCTCACACAACAGGACGAGAATAGTAATTGATGTAAAGTAATCATAGCTAATTAGAAGCTTAAATTATGTGTTGTTTACAATGAACTTAAAATACAGCATTAATTCAACACAACAACAGCAAGTTGTGCGATGTGTAAATAGCTATGTAGGGTCCAGTAAATGTGATTAACTTGTTCCAAAGTGATTTTCTAAGCAGACACGAGTGGAAAGTTCCCGTTCGTAACTGGATATCTTGAAATGAAACGCAGTAAACTTAAACCTTTGAAATGTGTTTTTACAGGGAATATAAAGATATGCTTTACCATCATGAGACATTCCTTTTACAACTTCGTGTGTAAACAATCATTTGACGATATAAGAGTATGGTTGATAATATCCTGTACGGAGTTATGTGATGTAGCACATATTCTGTTACATTTCATATAACTGTATACATTTCATGAATAAATATTTTCAAATCGTTAAAAAAATTTCAAGCGAACTGACATACAGTACAACATCGACAAATTTCTACTCAACTGCGTTGCTGACAAGTTGCTGTGTTCCCGTTCGAATTTTAAATATCAAAACTGTTAATTAATATTGACATAAGTAAATAAACTTCGACTAGTTCGAAACTCTTAGAGCGAAAAGTTACAATTTACTTTTAATATAACTTTGTAGCATACAGTTGAGTTACAGTGTCGAGCGCTGTGTCAATTCAAATTTAGAATTTAACGATATTAATTACGTGCTCAATTGAAATATTTATTCAGTTCCTCTTATGTATTGGGATGAAGAATAATCCGATTCTCCGATCTCGTTTCGCTGCATATGTTTGAGTCTGTACGGGATGTTATAGTGTGAGTGATATGTGTGTGTGTGTTTATTGTGTTATTCTACATAAGATATTACATTATTATTTTTCCATACAGTGGCTTGCAGTGGTGTCCCTCGCTGTCCTTTACAATGTAGTTTTCGTGATTGGACGTGCTGTCTTTTGGGAGCTTGATAAAAGCTCCACTTCTTGGTTTGCCCTTGACTATCTCTGCGACGCTATTTATGTTATCGACACTGTAATTCACATGCATGAAGGTAAGTGGTATCCTCATAAGCTTGCGAAATTTTTATACAATAAGTAAGTACCTCTGAACTATTTAAACCGAAAACTACATAATTCGATACAACTATGAACTAAAGTGAACTTTTGTAAAACATTACTTTTGTGAAACATCTGCTGTAGTTATACATTGACTTATTAAGATTATATATTTCACGTTTTAAACTGATAATGAGTTTTGATGGCTTGTAGACCAAATGTAATTTATATATCATTTACAATTATTATTAATTAAAAAAATGACAAATAATAAATTCAAACAAGATTCGAACCCAATCGTTAATACTGTTCAACTCTAAACCAATGTTCGAAATAATTATTTAAACGCCTACACATATTAACTTCTCTAAGCTTGTGTTAAACGTCATTGCTATTAAATTTTAACAGGCGTAATATATTAAGCTAGCGAATTGCAAATTTTAGAGAGTATTTATATTGGAATTTATTTATATAGGAAGTAATTTTTTTCTCAATTATCATATATTGCTTACATAGTGCGAGTTTCGCAAACGCGAATGTTTATTTAAAATGTGTTATAGATTTATTCTCAATCAATTTTTTGATTGATTTTTTATCAATCAACGAAAACCAAACATGTATTTACTTCTATAAACCACAGGTTATTATAAAAAGAGATAAAAACTTCACGTACTTTGACATAGGGACACTTTTTTATAATGTAAACAATTGTAACTATTTGTATCAATATAACTTACTACTAATATGCTTAAATGTATTCAACCCTAATCCATTCTCAAATAGCCGAATGCTCAAAGATTAGCTCAATAGCTAAAGCCATTAAGCTATCCCAACTGGGCATGGTAGATTAATATAGGGTGCGAATATTATTCATATTTAACAAATCGCACGCTTAGTATTACAGTGACCTAATTAAAAAAAAACACTTTTTTGGCAAATCGTATAAAACTGATGATGGCGTTATTATAGTAATGTAATAATCAAATTTTACTAAAATTTTTGAGTTAGGTCACTCTAATACTAAGCGTGCGAAATGTAGAATTTTTCATGTCATAATAAATAAAATGTTGGACTTAGGTCCCCGCACTCAAGTGTCAGAGGAGTTCAGAATTTACACGCACCAAGTTGCTCAAATGACGGTTCGTAGGCTGTAACACCTAGCGTCATACGCATCAAATTATTATAATTTTATTGTACGTACTGATTTAACTTCAAATGATACTAAAGTGCATCGAACCTACACACGATTGTAGCCCCTATTTTGTGTGTTTTTATGGCGCATATCGCAAATCATCATTTTGGCACCCACACGCGTTAGTCGTTGGGCGCGCCTTAAGTCATCAAATTTAGCTAACGCGTGTGCAAACAGTGGACAGGGTGGACCCTGCCAGTTTTCCGCGTAAATATTGCACTGTTCGTCTTCAAGTGAACTTAGCATGCACGAAAACTTTCACGAGAGCAGATCGCGTAATTCACTAATAGTTGTAATTACACTTGCTGTGCCTTCGTCCGCATAGAAACGTTTTCTCATCTTTAAAAATTATAGTCGTTAGCCACGACGTCGGTTGCGTTGTATATACACTGTCGCTGAATAAATCTTATTTTAATATTATTAAGAGCATTGATGGAGAAAGGGAGAAACGGTGAGAAATGTGACAAAAAACGGCAAAAAATATTCACCTTTGAGGGTTCTCATTACGTGCGCTATGAAAATGATTTAAGATAGCCAAAGAAATATGTGCGAAATAATGATTCCTCTTTAAATGACCTAAACTATATTCGCGACAGTTAGTATATGTTTATTAAGATAAAATATTACCTTACAAGAACGACGGTTCTAGACTATAATTTATAAAGAAAACAAATGTTGATGATCAATTAACTATTCTACGCGGACGAAGTCGCTGGCACAGCTAGTAGATATCAAATTAACAAAAATGTCACGCTCGATCATCTATGTCTGTTGACTATTGTGATACAATACATTGATTCTTATTATCTTCCAGGCTATCTTGAACAAGGGATCATGGTGAAGGACTCCACTATGCTACGTCGGAATTACATGAAGTCCGATTGGTGGCCGTATGATTTCATTTCTCTAATTCCAACTGATATTACGTACTACTGGTGGCCTCCCGGCAACTGTGATTATGTTAGTAGCCAAAAAGTATTAAAAATTCCAAACCATTGAGACTGAAACCCGCCACAGACTTGCTTATATAACACTTGGTCTACGGACCATCCTTACTAATATTATAAATGTGAAAGTAACTCTGTCTGTATGTCCGTCTGTTACTCTTTCACGACAAAACTACTGAATGGATTTGAATGACATTTGGTACACAGATGGTCTAGACCCTGAGTAAGAACATAGGCTACTTTTATTGCGAAAAGGTAATTGTAAGGGGTTATAAGGGGGGTGACAAATTGTATGGAAATTCGTGGTTTTTGAAGCTAGAACAATAAAACTTTCTTCTTTCGCTTTTTGGGAATAGAAGTGGGAGTGGGAGTGGGAGTGATGTGAGGTAAGAGTGTTGCGGCAAAGTAGCACTTACAACATAGATTGGCTGCGATAAATGCGCAATTACATAAATTAATAAACAGGCTAAATAATTAAAAATTCTACCCCACGTCACTATTCCACGCGAACGAAGTCGCCAGCACAGCTAGTAGTCTATAAATAGTTTGTATATTCGCCGTTAACGAAGAAACCTAAATTTTATATAAAACACTTTGCAACGGTTAAAAGTCGCACTATTGGTTACAAAATGTTTAAATACTGTCTATAGTTTACGCGAGTAGTACACATTTAAATAAAACACTTTAACGGTTTAAAACGCGAAATATTAGTTAATCTTATTTGAAAATGATTTTTAACTTCGACCCGACGTTTCACATAAAAAAAATTCAAATAAATTTAACTAATACATCGTGTTTCAAACTGTTAAAGTGTTTTATTTAAACCAAATTTTTACCACTCTCCATCGTGACCATTAAAGCTTCGATATGTTATAAAGGTAAAATTATTTACACTAGTTAAACTTATTTACACATTACTTAACGTCCTAGCCTTTTGAAAATTTGTAAATAAGCTTAACTAATATATTTCGTGTTTTAAACCGTTAAAGTGTTTTATTTAAATTCGTAAACTACAAACAGTATTTAAAAATGAAGTTGCTAAGATAACGTTTAAGGGAATTAAAAACTGTTTCATTTAATGTAAACTATTCGAGTAAACTACAGGTACAATTAAAACTCATTAAATGAAGTATTTTCAATCCAACGTACGAATAGTGTATAAGCACTTACATAAGAATAATTTCATATTATCGGAGAGGCAACAATGCCTTAAATACCTAGAAGGTTTTTTTGTATAGGGCAAATGTTATTTAAGAAATTATTTTAAAATCAAATTCATATATAAAAAATATATTGGTTAGTAAAGTTTCGTACGTACAACAAAAATAACGAATGACAAAAGAATCACGCATGGCGTGTTGTTACAAAACCATTGTGACAGTTATTTTAAATTATTCAGCCTGCGTTTTTGAAGCGGATAGATTAAGAAAGTTCGCGGAAGTTACACTCATAATCTCCTGGTTTTCAATTATATATGGTATTTATAAATAGGACATCACGTAGATAAACACATGCTCTATTTACAGATAACAGCTAATATCAATTCAAGAACTGAGTACAATTCCAGCCAAACACATTCTTCAGCTTAGTTATTACTGTGTCAATATTGGTTTCAGGACCGTTTGCCGTGCCCTGTTATTGTTCGACTCAATCGCCTGTTTCGACTGCCCCGCATGTGGGAGTGGTTCGATCGTACAGAGACGGCGACAAGTTTCCCCAACGCGTTCAGGATTTGCAAGGTTCGTGATGTGTGCGAAAATATCTAGAATAATAAATATAGTCGATGACTGTACGCGTATAATTTACCAGTTGATATGTTCGACTATAATAGCTATAAAATTCTTAAAGGTTATTTAGTTTTGGTTTGGCTTAAAGTAAATTACGCATATATACAATATGCGTGAACGCAAGCGAAATATAGTTGCTTATCACACTGCTAAAATCTACTATACTACACTGCTAATCCAAAACACGAAGAGATTGGGGAAGAAATGAAATTACTTTAAAATTTCAGGTCGTGATGGCGATACTGGTACTGATCCACTGGAACGCTTGTCTCTTCTTCGCTATCAGCTACGCCATCGGATTCGGTACAGACAATTGGGTATACAACATAACAGGCACACGCAACGAAACTCTCGCGCATCAATACATTTACAGCTTCTACTGGTCAACATTAACCCTGACAACGATCGGTGAAACTCCTCAGCCCGAAATTGACGTTGAATACATTTTCGTCGTCCTCGACTTCCTCGCTGGAGTCTTGATCTTTGCTACAATCGTGGGTAACATCGGATCCATGATTTCCAACATGAACGTGGCCCGAGTGGAATTCCAAAACAAAATGGACGGTGTCAAACAGTACATGGCTTTCCGCAAAGTCAGCGGTGAACTGGAGGCACGGGTCATTCGATGGTTTGCTTACACTTGGGCCGAGAGCGGAGCATTGGATGAGGAACACGTCCTATCATCTCTCCCGGACAAGCTAAAGGCTGAAATCGCGATTCGAGTTCATCTAGACACCCTACGGAAAGTGCAGATATTCAAAGATTGCGAACCGGGGCTGCTAGAAGCACTTGTATTAAAATTAAAGCTTCAAGTTTTCAGTCCAGGCGATTATATATGCAGGAAGGGAGACGTTGGCAAAGAAATGTATATCGTCAAACGCGGCAGGCTGCAAGTCGTCGCTGATGATGGCCATACAGTATTGGCATCGCTTGGCGCGGGATCCGTCTTCGGAGAAGTGAGCGTTCTTGACATCGCTGGTAATCGAACCGGTAATAGACGTACAGCTAACGTGCGAGCTCTTGGCTACTCTGACCTATTTTGCCTAGCGAAACGAGATCTCTGGGAAGCACTAGCAGATTACCCCGAAGCTAGAGCCACATTGACAAAGCGTGGATGTCAGTTATTACGAAAGGTTGGTATTCCTAACTATAAACGCTACCATAGATACACTAGATGCAAATATCTGCACAACTTACCACGGGCACTGCTTAACGATACACTATACTCGTATAATGAGAAATACTTTTGTGAGACAAATTTACCAATCTGCTATCGATTTAATCCAGCTCTAGCTTAATTTTGATGCAATTAATTATAGGATGGATTGTTAGATGAAACTGTTTTTGAAAATGCAAAGACAACTCAGCTGAGTTTAGAAGAGAATGTTCGTAAATTGGAATCAACAGTTGATCTTTTGAATAATCGCTTACAAGGATTGTTAGCTGACGTAGGTCAAGAGCAAGCCAAGCTGAAACAGCGGATATGCAAAATTGAGTCCAGGTAACTTTTTGCGATAAATAATTTAACTTGGCTATTCAGCGATTGCTTTATTATCTATGCGAATGTTATTTACCATTACTAACACACTGATTACTATACATAATATAAGCTTGGGTGCTTCTTTCTCAGTGATGAAATCCCGACTTTATCCCTTCCAGGTTCATAGAATCAGATGAAGAATTTGATTCAGACGAAACAACACCAGAACTCCATAGAGACATAAAAGTGTGCAGCTACAGTGACACACCGTCTTGTTCCACGCAATATATGGACGCAAATAATCCAGTTCGTGAGCGAGGCCATTCGCTTTGCGTCGACAGGACACCGGGTCTTCTTCAAATCATCCCGGAACCGCGGAGTAAATCGTTAAGGCTAAAACGAAAAGACATCCCAAAGTGAAAACGTGGACTCTAAAAACTTTTGCAGTGAAGCGTGTAGGATTCAAAAACAGTCTCGTCGTACAAGGAAATGTTGTTTAACTCGTGTTTGACGATCCTAAGACAAAGCCAAAGGTACCTATTTCAAGTTAGTCTTCATGACAACATATTATAATCTATTACACATTTAAAATGTAGATCGTAGGAGAATGTATTGAACTTTTAAATATATGTCTACTTGATAGGACCCCACGGGACACAATGATAAAAGGCAGTGGATTGTCGTGATCCAAGTAATGAATTTGAACAGATCTGTGATTACGAATTGGTCTAAGACCCGCCAAAGGATAAGAAAAGTAGGACCACCTTATATTATTGTACCGTGCTTCTCTAAATGTTTCGGTGTTTGAAATAGTCCAATACTTATTAATCATGTAATAGATATAACTTATCTCACTAATTATAAAATTTCGAATATGTATTTATATTATGTGAATTTTAATTCACCTTCTACTTATATTGTAGCATGTTTACACTGTATTTCTGAATGATCTTTACTATATATCTGTAATAGTATTTATTTTAATTTTAATAAGTACTATATTAAGTATTTTGAACGACTTACGGAGGCTTACGACCCTTCTTTGTAGTTTAAGGTTTTAGAAATTTATTAATTGTTAACGTAATCAAAGTCCATCCTTCAAACACGAATTCTATTTTCTGACAATTCTTGGAATTAAGCAGATTCATCTATTTCGAAAAAGGTTGCACAAATAACATTTTTTTTAACCATGAGATATTGTCCTCGAAATTAGTCTTGTAAACTTTCTAACTACAAGAAATACATTCATTTTTGATTATTTTATACTCTGGATGGCCTAGTACTTAGTAAGAATTTTGTGACTTGATAGAGCTATTGTAATTTTATTGTAGACGAGTATAATTCAATTATAAGAAAACAGTATTTTCTGTCTGTCTGTCTATAATTATGACGTAACGCTGCAAAGTATGATAATTTATATTTATTTACTCCGTAAGAAACTTAAATTCCGTCAATAGTTTATTTTGTGTGTGTTTATTCTAACATTTCATAGTCCTGTCCTATTATATTATGTTTAGCTGACAGAGTTGGGATTCGTCGAAAATACGTAATTGGTAACCACAGGGAATATTATCTACGTTTTAAGGGGAACAATTTTGGCATAGTGAAAATTATCGTATCGAAGCGTGTGGACGGTGTCCCATTCTGTCTCAGTCATCTTCAATTACATATTAAAAGTAGTAGATAACAATGTTCGATGTTAAATCTATATATCTAGACAATGTTTACATGTAGAGAATTTTATCAATGTTTTGGTGTCAAATAAAAATAAAGGAAAGCTTAGTTATTTTAATTCCACACAAAGACGCGTGCGTACATATCAAAGCAAAAAGAAAAGATTTTTATGAAATCAGTACCATTCAGACCCCCCCCCTCTCCGAACTTTTACCTTTCCAACTTTTTCTCGCCTTTCTTATGCTCAATCACAAGCGCCACAGTGTCACCTTCCTAAAGACTTTTCTTTTGTTTTTCCCTTCACAGGTTGAGTGGAAAAGCCGTGTTTAGAAATAAGACTGCTCTATACTAGTTGTTATTTATATAAACTATTCATTTGGAGTTAATAATTCATAGTTTGATAAATAAACTCCGGGGTCCGGGGAAATTCTTTTACCAAATTACTTACATAGATTTTTAAACCTACATAATGGTATCATATGCAAAATATTAAAGTTTTTAATATTGTGGGAGTTTTATAATTTAGAAAAATCACTTACAATTTTCCTTCTTTAATCGAATAGTTAAATGTAATCTGTTCGACAGACTAACAATAAAAGATCTAAACATAAAACAAAGTAACATAACATAAATCAATATCGATAAAACAGTTTCGAAGGCTTAACATAGAAAACATCATTCAACACATACTTATTCGGTCTATTACATATAGTATAGCTAATTATAGTAACGAGGCCTTAGAAACCATACATAATGTAGTCCGATACATAATCATTAGTCCTCCATACAATTAAACAATACGCGTTTCTTTATAAGAAAGTGAAAATAAAGAACGCAATAAATTATATATTTACAAATCCAAGAATCGAATCCACGACAACCTGGTTGAAAGTTTGCTAACTTTAATAACATATCGTTGGCTAGATACCGGAAACATGTAGTAGTGTCCATTTCTCGTTTTTAGAAGCACGTTTCCGGCGCGATGCGTCGCGACTATTGTCGCAGCAAATATTTTAAATTTCCCTCATTTCTTCTATACGGAAAACCATTTCTAAAGCCTCGGATTTTTCACATGTAAAACGCCATTTAGTACATACAATGACACAGATACACTGATTAGACATCTACATACAAAGTTACGTTACTATACACATTCAGTTAAAAAATATAAGTAGGTAAATTTATTATTGTCAAGTGTGAAGTGTTAGTTACGTTTTATTGGCCCAAAATTTTCATTAAACCACGAAATCTTACCCTAACTCAATGAAGAAAAACGAAATTAAATTTAACATGGAAAGTCTTGACTTCGAATTTCGTTCATATCGACATCATTAATTACGTTCTCAGGTAGCGAAATGTAGCGCTTTTAACGAAAAGCAATAAATCATTAGAGTAATCCATATGTCGTTAGTATTATAATCCCATCGGAATCGATTCAGCCGTTTTCGTTACCTATCTTGAGATACTTTTTTTTTAAAGGTAAAATCGGGCTAGTGATAAGAGATTTTATTTTTTCTTTCTTACTTTTTATTACCTTGGCTACATTTTTTGAGCATGAAAATGACCATTTATTTGACTAAAACTTCTGAGCATGTTTTTTATGATAGAAGAATTCTAGCTAGGTTCACTCGAAGGTAGGTAATATACTATGCGATATGAAAAAATACGAGTTTCATGCAATTCTTGCTAGTAATTTGTATGTATTGCAATAATAAGGTTTTTGGTTCTATCTAAGGAAATAATTAAACTTAGCTAATATTAAAAAAATAGTAATTTATATGACTACAGAAAGTCCAGATTATGTCATGTTCAACGATGGTAAGAACAGAGTTTTGCGGTAACTGTTTGTAGAAATAGGATTGAGGTTTACAAATGTCTAGGTAATTTTTCATACAGAACCATAGAATTTCGAATTTCGAAATTTGATATTTAAATTTCATTTGAATTGATTTTTACAAATTACAGTTGGATTTGCCATTTTCTTCTTTTATAGCAGGTTTTTAGATCTAATCACAATGTCATCATTGCAAGTCTCAAGACGTAAACAAATGCTTGTCAAGACATTACATAGAAATCTTTACAGAGTTCCAAGATATCAGGAACTGCGAAGTAATTTAAATAAATATTAAATTAATTATGATACACTGTAAGACACAAACAAAATAAATATACGTATAACACTATTATTAAATACATTACTTCCTAATATATTTACAATAAAAAGAATAGAGAATTTTATTACAAACAGTAGATATTTGATTGAGTACTGAATTTTATACTTGGGGTTCTCGTGATGGAAGGTAAATAAGATGCGTTGTTAGCCTATTTGGCTTCGGACATTCAGAGACAGACAGACATTCAGACATGTAGATGTCTGTCTGTCTCTGTCTGTCTGTAGAGACAGAATACAATAACATATTAACTGTTAAGAAAATGTTTTATCTGTCACACGTTACTTGTATTGTTGAAAACATCTTTGTTCTAATTTTAAATAATTTAAAAGAAAATTGAAGTCCCTATGTATTTTAAAACGGAGATTTTCCTATCTGTTGCAGATATCGAATTAGAAACTAACTCGAGAAGACAACTCGATAGAAGGAAATGTACCACAATTATTTCTGGGTATTTTGCTAAGAAATGATTACATTTTTATATCTAATAAAGAATTTTGACAAATTCTTAAGACATTCATATTTTGACATATGTATAATTTAAATAAGCTACAGTTTACTCTTAACATTTTCAACGAAATTTCTAAAATATACACCGTAGTGCTTACATAGATTGGAAGTAGGAAAATACAGATATAAGTTAAGTCAAATGACGACAATAGTATAGAATTCCATTTGTATACTAAAAAGAATATACCACCCTAATAGGACCGTTTTAAATTCATTGATTAAGCCAGGACGAATCATGAGGTATAGAAACATTTATAAAATACTTATATTTCAACTATCTTGGCTATGGTCTCCAATAAACGCCGTAGTTTACGTACAGCGTTACGCGGCGCGATGCGTCACGGTACATCCTACAAAAATGTACTGTTATCGACACCGTATTGCGCCGGCATAGGAGACCAAGACACATGCAAAAAGTGTAACCGTGTTAGTGCTAAAATAGATGCCGCTACATCAAAGAAGGCGTTGTCCCAATTCTACCAAGATTAAAAACAGAATTTCCAAAACTTTTCTATGCTTTAGCTACATTGTACTAATTTGAACTGGAACAACCTGCCAAGTAAGTGTTTGGAATGGCTAACAGCGATTAGTATTTTCTACTATGTATCATAATATTAAACATTTACACCGACATCGAGTTTACTCAACTAAATATCAGTCTCGCGAGCTTAGGGATCTATAGCTTATAGGAAGTTTATACGTATGTACATTTCTCAAATCACAGAACCTTTCCAAGCACGAGTGTAAATTTTCTATCTACGTACATATAACGCTATCAAAAATTTAAATTTATCTATACGTCTAAAATATTTAAACTAACTAAAGTGATATATTAAGAGGTTTTCGAATTTGTTTAATACCCTAAGCTCGGAAATCAGACATCGCTTATTCTAATACATAAAATACAACTTTCATGACCAATTTGACATACAGCTAGTTAGTTTATCGACAGTATCTTCGTCTCGAAAAGTCTAAATAAATAAATTATAGAACTTTTGGCTTTAATTGTCAGTCAAGAAGCAGATTAAAAGACAACAACGGTTACGAACGTTACACACATCAGTATTTTTATTGGTAGGGTAAGTTAGGAATCTGTAATCTTAGGATTCTAGCGAAGAGTTGTATTATTATACAGTATTGTTGAAATTAACTAACAATCGTCCATAATACGGAAAATGAAATAAAAATTGCATTTTTACGATGTTCATAAGTCAAATCATTGAAGTTAATGAAGTGTTGAAGTTCAACATATAAAAAATAATCCAATTTGGATTTAAATCATTTATTATATTATTCAAAATTAAAAACGGTTTCTAAAGTACAATTACAATGAAAGATGACATGGTATTGTATTATAACTTTGGACTTTTGCTAAGCTCTTTACAGAAATTTTGTTTCATTTTCTTCGAACAATATTGGATAAAGATTCGAAATTTGTAATTTACGCTACCAAAACACAATTCCTAGAATACTTTAGTATTATATTTATGGTTAGGGAAAGTAATCTAGGCGTTCACGGTGGGATATTTTCATTTAAGAAGGTTGGTGAGTTGTTACAGTAGCTTCTGTTCCCGCCGATGTTTTTCTACGATTTTAAGTCTCACCCGATGTAAAATGTAAGGAATTGTCGTCTTTACCCACTGCAATCATCAAGCATCATATTAACTTCGAAACAATTAATTCATGTTGTTATGTGTCATGTAAATAATGAAATAATATAAAAAAGTAATATTTTGTTAACCTAAAGTCCAGTTTAAAGGACAAACATGTTAATTACCATCAGACCAAAGTAGATATCTAGCAGCCGACTCAGCCATGTCAATTCCTTCGTCATGTGAAGCTGGACGGACACTGCTTGGATGTTCATATGTTCGTGAGTGACTGGCGTTGGAATCTGAAATAAAACATGACACAATATTATACCTTAATTATTTATTAACACTTTATTGCTGAAGAGAAATAAAATACAAATGACACTTGAATACTAAAAATTTGGAATGGGCGACCTTATCGCTAACAAGCCATCTCTTCCAGGCAACCCAAGATGAAAAATTTAAGGGAAAACGAGATGTACAAGGTGGATAAATATCAAAATAAAACTTATACACAATTACTACTACACAACTTATCTAGGTATACATACACGACTAAAATAGTAAGTTTTGGTTAAGTAGCCCAAATAAATCTTTTATACGGTTGAAACGAGATCTACATATTTTGTTAATTAATTTTTATCTTCGAGTGATCTTTAAGCGACCAGAACTGCTGCAGATGCAAGGCATGCAAAACGTCGGGTCAAAAAAGTGTGGAAGGTTTATATGTAATTTTTTGTTCTACTCACATAAAACCAAAATACATATGAATTTTTCAACTAATTTAGGTATTATTTTTCAATAATTTATTACGCGTTGGAACAAGGTTTAACAATCCGTGGAAACCAAATAAAGAATGGTATATATTTTGTGTTATAGTATAATATGTTTTATATTATTAAAGAGATGGTTCATCTTACAAAAACGTGGACTTAAATGCTCATAACCCTAAATATGTATTTTAAATTTGTGAATATCTATCCCCGCCGTAGTTCAATGGTGAAACGCATTGCCTAGCTTAGCGATAAACGCAAGTGGTCCCGGGTTCGAATTCTGGGGACTTTTCGTTTGTAAATAAGGACAAGCGGGGACACAGTGGAAAAATCAATAATACTTTACGCCCTAGCCACACAAGAAAAACAGACTTCAACATTTTTTAATTAATATCAAATTGATATACATTAATTGTCAAATTATTTACAATCCTCCAATCAACTGTGCTATGAAGCCATCTTCATTTGTATTGTTACAGTACCACATTCCACAAGCACTGTAACTTAAACAAAATTAATTTCGTCATCCATGAAAACAGACGTTAAAACAAACTAGATGGCGCTTTTTTAAACTTGTATAGATATGATTTATATAATTATTAATCTGTTACAGCCTCGTTGGTCGTATTTGGTACAGTTAAATAAGGCAGTGGATCACAAGGTGTATTTAGAATTTTCTAAGATTATGTCTAGTACCAGCCTAAAGTGTAAACTCGTGCTTTCTGGATATCAACATTAATTTTGATATTCGTTATTTTTTAACACTGGAACAGCGCCGTTACCAAACTCTCTCGATAATAGGTGAAAACGATTAAGTTGTAATGAATCCAATTTACTTAAGGTTTATGTAACGCATAAGATTCATATTTTCTTTATGAAAACTATTCTAACATAATAAAGCTGAAGAGTTTGATAGAACGCGCTAATCTCACGAACGACTGGTTCGAATTGAAAAATATATATTTACATTGGTTTAGTATAGTATTTATCGAGAAAAGCTTTAGATTATAAAACATCACGATCCGAACAATAGGAGCGAAGAAACACTGGTACGTTTGGACAAAACGGGAAAAATGATTCAAGATCACTAAAAAATATGTATGAAAGAATTCGTCTTTAAATTATCTAAAAAAAATGTGCAAGACAGTTTAAGGACGACAGGACGCGACCAATGTCGTGGGTAGTAGCTCAAATTTATAAAAATGACGTGGACGTTTGCAAAAACACATTCCGATGCCCAAAATAACTTAGATGTTATGTAAACTTACAATGGCATCAGTTTAAACCTTAGTGGTTTTTTATTACTATCAATATATAAATAAATGTATTTGTTATGTTGATATGATAAATAAATGAAAAAAAAACTATCCTACGCGGACGGAGTCGGTACAGCTAGTGTTTGAAATAAATTATCGAATTAAAAAATGTTCCTCCTCCAAAAAGTAACGGCTGGAGTAATTTAATTATTGGTTGCTATTACCTGTAGTCCAATAATGAGAGGGGCCATCACTAGCACTGATGTCGTGATGGGATACAGGATGACCATCCACCGGACCGGAGTATGGTGGCGCTGAGTTAGGGGATGCATCTGGAATTAGGACGAAAACATAAAATTGCCTATTCTTAATTGATTGAGAATTAAAAATCGATTATAAATTTAAAAAAAAAATACGACTTGGGTAGGACTTGAACCGGCATTCCGGCTGTTGCTCTAACGAATTGTTTTTTTGTTCAACTTATAATCTATTTTTTTCATACAGAGCCATCATATGCATTAACATGTGAAAAATATAAAATATGTTATTGTGATTGGAAATGAAACTATTTGGAATAAGTCAATTTATTTATATGAAACACTTTTAACTGTTTAAATCTCGAAAAATAATAACACGGATTATTATGGATTACAGACAATATTCAAATTATTTTATATTCATATCTGTATGTAAAAATTGGCAAAACATTTAAAACAATCAAAATAAATTGTAGATTTAACTGGTTATATTGGTAAATAAAACAGTTATTTATCGACATAAAACCAACCGCAAAATCACATAACCTACTTTTCTCTAAAATAAGTCCGATTTAATTGTAGCTGTAAATTCTTTGTAAATTCCTTCGATAGGGCTGCGATTATGTCGTCTACCTATAGCTCGGTTATACCAAAATAGATTTATTGTAACTACCCGCGAATAGAAACGTGCATAGAATAAAAATACCGTACAAAGTACAGTAATTATTTTAAAGTTCATTCAGCTACGTACCTATTTAAATGTCTGAAAACATTAACCATAATATTATGTAAATTGATATTTTAAATTTTATAGCTTATACACGCCTCGTTAAAATTTAGTTATATATTTCGCGGTTTAAACCATTAAAAGTGTTTTAATTGGTGATAAATATTGTAATTGAACAAAACTTACCGAATTTAAAAATCGAAAATAAATTGAAAAATTTTTCGACGCGGGCAGGACATGAACCGGCATCGTCAGCTTTCCGTGCTGTTGCTCTACCAATTGAGCTACCGAGTCCTACACCTCATCGTCGAATCTTTTCAACTTATTGATACATGCACCTATCGCGCAATGTTTTGTTATCGCGAAAATTATTTCAATTTATTTTCGATTTTTAAATTGTATAGTGCCTTCATGTGCAATAACATGTGAAAAATATTAATGTTTTCAAAACTTACCGAAACTTGGAAAGCCCATGGAATAACCCGAAGTGTTCATTGATATTGGAATTGGCTGTAACGGCCCCTGAAGCTGAAAGTATAAAAAGACAACGTAAGACGTAATGCGGTGAGATAAGTGCGTGTGTAAAATCTCATTTCGCACATTGTAAGGTCATGCGCGAACTTTATTATCAGATCCCTAGGAAATCCACGATGTTCCCAAAAATTTTGCGTCCCGTTACTTGTTTAATAATAACCAGTTCTAAAAACCTTGTAATGTTAACAATGTATGGCGGATCGTAAGTTTGAACATTTTTCTAATAAATTTATAACATGTTGGATTGGAAATCTGGATATTAAAGGGTGGCAGGAAGTTAAATCGCGTTTCGGTTTCCGTCTGAATATCCATAGCCAATATAAAATTAAAAACTATTTTACGCACGCGAAGTCACACCTACAACTAATCTGTTTAATAATGTTTTATAAGCTAAAGAGTTTGTTTGAATGCGCTAATCCCATGAACTACTTGTTTGTATTGACAAATTATTTTCGTGTTGGAAGAACCATTTATCGAGGAAGGCTTTAGACTATAAAAATCAGGTCGCGACCAATAGGCACGAAGAAACAGTGGCTTCATAATGAGGGCTTGAAAAAAATGGAAGAAGATTATTCTTTCAATTAATATAAAAAATGTCCGTGATTGTACATGTCTTTTTTTGGAGATTAACACGCACGGACGTGGACGACGGCGTAGGTTGTGGGCAATAAAGCTGAGGAGGTTGTTGGCAAAAATAAGAAATATGATACTGTCTATAGTTTACGCGTGTAGTACACATTTAAATAATGCAGCCGTGGTCACGGGGAGTCTCCCCGTGACCACGGCTGCTGCAAAGCATCCGAACGCCGAAGTTAAAAATCATTTCCCAATAAGTTTAACTAATACATCGCGTTTTAAACCGTTAAAGTGTTTTATTTAAAAGAAATATGATGCCCATAATAAGTATTCTACGCAGACGAAGTCGCGGGCAGAGCTAGTAAATAATAATATCTTAGGATACGAGGGTTCACAATAAAAACAAATTAGGCTTCAATGCGTAACGAGTTAAATTGTCTTTTTATATATATAAAATATCATGGTACGTAATGCTCACGTTGTACATCAATGGGCCACAACAATTTGCAAGTAACGGGTTTTATTGCTTATTGATACGGTACTAAAATTTTAATCTCTAATGAAACAACGCTAGCACGCCATTAAACTTCTTTAGAGCATAACTTGCTGTTTTACAACCTATATTTTCTGCTGATTGTAAATAATGAAAGTTACGATTTGATAACGAAGAATATCTTAAATCAATTGTAATTTTTCATAATCGAAAAAATAGGAAAGCTTTAAAGTCTGTAAACACGCTCGTGTCTTTGATGGCGCCACAGAATATCATTATTGCCCTGCTCTACTAACTATGGTTTCCCAATTTAATAAATACTGTTAAACTTTCGACATACCAACAAACACACACCAACAGCCAAAAGTCCTTGCAAAAGTACATACATTGAAAAAAAAAACAAAGCATCCTAAACGTCTGGTAGTTAAACTATGTTTAAGTAAATATTTTGCAGTTCAAACCGTTAAAAATCATTAAGACTCGATTATAAATTGAAAAAACATTGCGCGTGCTTAAATAGGTTGAAAAAAATTCGACGATGACGTGTAGGACTCGGTAGCTCAATCGGTTAGAGCAACATTACGGAACGCTGTGATCCCGGTTCAATTCCTGCCCGAGTTTTCATTTTATAATCGTTTTTTAATTTAGGTAATAATGTTTATTTTTTACAATTGAACCATTGAAAATGTCTCCCACAATGTTTCTATTAATCATTAAATATGAACATTATAAATAAATTGTTGCTCATGAATTTAGTATTGCGCTTATGAAGATTGACGTTAATGAATTTACGGTCACTGGTTTATTGAAAATAAACTTTCATAATGCATTGATTTGATAATGTAATTTAATTAATTTAGGTTCGCTATATCATATTGTGTAGTTAACTCGTTTTAAGCTCATTAGGTCAAACCATCAAGCCTCATTGGTGATACGTGGTGGGTCAATACATACTATTTACAAAGAAGAAAGAGAATTGTTGCGACAGCATTGCGACATTATTTTTTCTTACTTGTCATTTTATTACTTCGAATAGTTATACAAAAAAAAACTATATAAAAATAGCGTAATTATTGTAAATTATATGTATATTAAGTGAAAATCACATTTAATAGAAGAGACAGCTTCTAAATAGAATACAACAACAAAAAATTTCAAAATCAATATTTTGGATACTATTGCGTTAATAAAGGTTTCCTATTATATTTTTATTAGGCATGAGTGAAAATTTAATCTCTAGCTATTATAAGCAAACTTGTCCCATTGAGTGATAAGCCCTGATAATAGATTAACAATGACAAAGCTTAAAAAACAATAATAATCGAAATGTAAAAATTACGAATTAATTAAGGGTAGATTTAAAAATCGGCAATATTAAAACAATACTACGCCCCCACCTTTAATTATACTGTCTATGGTTTGGATCAATCGCACTTTGCTATAGCGACATACTATTGCCCCTAAATGGGACATGGGATAGACTTTTACTGAGTTATGCAATGTGAGTAAGTGAATGGATGTAATATTGTTTCCCAGGGTTCAAACCTAGGACCCAATATTTGTAACATCTAGTACTGCGTTTAACCACTATCAGTTAGATTGAATTATCATGAATTTTATATTTTGTTAAGACCCACCTGTTCTTGCAACTGCTGTGTGATATAGGAGCCGAAAGGTGAAGCCTGGTGCTGCAGATTTGAGTGTGGAGAACACGCACTACCATAACCCAGACTGGACGCAGGCTGACCCAGCCAGCTCCTGAAAACCAAGTCATATATCTGACATGAAATTAACATTAAAACAAAAAAAAGGTTTTGCTGAAAATCAGTGTTGTAGCATACCAGTGCTGCAACTCATGCTGACATAAACAAAAAAACGGTAAATAAAAAAAGAGTTAATCTTTTTAATTTAAAGATCATTTAAAGAGGAATAATTCTTTAATACATAGGCATTTTTTTAAATAAAATACTTGAACGGTTTAAAACGCGATATATTAGTTAAACTTATTTGAAAATGATTTTAAAGTTTGAAAACATTAATATTTTTCACATGTTATGCAATGAAGGCACTATATAATTTAAAAAATCGAAAATAAATTGAAAAAATTTTTTCCGTCCTGCCCGAGTCAAAATTTTCAATTTATTTTCATTTTAAATGATTTTAAACTTCGGCCCGACGTTTCGGATGCTTTGCAGCATTTCAGGGAGTCTCTTCGTGACCACGGCTGCTGCAATTATTCGTATTTATTTAAAAAATGTGTACTACTCGCGTAAACTATAGACAGTATAGTCATTTTTTGTTTTTTTTTAAACAGTTTTTGGAGCGAACCGTTTTTTTTTACATTTTCCACTGCTTCTTCGCTCTTATTGATCACAGCGTTATTATTATATTAGTTATATATCCTTCCTCAAGTTTTCGTTTTAAAATTTGATCAGCCTATTTAAACAAACAAAAAAAAAAAAAAAAAAAAAAAAAAACAAACAAACAAACTCTGCAGCTTTTTAATATCAGTGTAGAAGAATAAAAAATATCTCAGATGACGTTTTTGAAGTTCACGTTCAAATAACAGTGATAAGTGACGAGGGAAAATTAATAGAACCAATTACATCAGAAAGCGAACAAACATTAACTAGTTGTATACCCTGAGTGGAGTCAGCAATAAAAATCCAAGCATTCGGTATATCTGTACTGAGTACAGTACAAACTGTAAAAATCTATCTGAAGTAAAACAATAAAATGTTCTGTGCGTTTGATAAGTTAATAAAACTGTGTAAGTGTTGAGGAATTAAAAAATAAAAATTTAAAAGAAGACTTTTTTTTTCTATCTGGGTAAGGCTTCCACGGCCATCGTTCAGCATATTGCTCAAAGAATTAATTCTTGAACAGCCTGAAAAACAATGATTCTGTCTGTCTGTATACATACCGATATATTCTTTCACTGATTTTGAGTATTTTTCTAAGGTAAAAAAACTTTATGGTAGGGGAAGACAGTAGGATTCACTTGAACTTAGCCCAGATTTACTTATTACTAAGTAAATCTGGGCTAAGTATTTGTAAACAACGGAACAAGTAAAAAAAAGTAATTTTCTGTATACCCATATTAATATTATATAGCTGAGAATTTGGTTTGTTTGTTGGTTCGTTTATCTCAGTAATCTCAATACTGTTTCGAATTGATAAATTAATTCGTGTTGGTTAAAGCATGTATCGAGAAATTCAGGCTATAAACCATCACTGCGACCAATAAGCGAAGTAGCAGTGGGAAAAGCGAAAAAAAAAAGGAAAAGTAAAATATTTAACAATTTCCGTGCGCTGCGAAACCGGTTCAAGAAACCAAAAGAATATGAAAGAACGATTCCTCTTTAAATGATCTAAAAAAACCGCGACAATATATGTCCACCTTATAAGATACGTAGAACGTATTTCGTGGTAATCAAATTTGGTGGAAATTAATGCATTATTACCAATTAACCAACATAGTTGCAATTCTTCGTCTACCGAATCAGCTAGTACCGGTATAAAGCAAACGAAACCTGTATTCTTATAACCAAACTTCATAGCATTTTGCTATAAAATGTAATCGGTTACCAAGCGACCCAATAACCTTTAATAACATTATCTTATCCTTACGAAAAATTATATGAAAAACAACTAGAAAATTATCTCTTTTATCATTTTGTTTATTTTGACTATCAATTCGCTTTGGCTTCGAGTGTATTTTTTTTTTCAATTAAATATAGAACATTGTTTATGTTGGGCTTAAAACAATCAAAGAATACACAATTAAACGCTGTTCGGTTCTACGATATAAGTGCTGTACTGTTTTAATGTTGAAAATCGTGAAGATAAAGAAGGTGTGAAGTCCCGTTTCCGAAAACGAAAACATTCTAACCGAAAAAATCTATTGTATTCCCGGGTTTTGAACACCGACCTCTCGTACCTTACGTTTATAAGTGAGAAAAGGGTTCTAATTATATTGCTATACGTAATCTTTAAATATCTATTTATAAAAGAACAATGAAAGAATATTGCAATAGAGTTAAAAATATAATACGCACACAGTTAAGCTAAGTTTTAAATTACATAAAAATGAATAGGGGCTTCATATGTACCTGTCCGTTTTACTACTAAAAAACTGTTCTCACTAAAATAGGTGGAGTAAATATTTGTAAAGAAATTCCAATGTAAACAATAAAAAGCTTTTTGAATACGTATTTCATAATTAAATTATATATATCATAATAGGTATTGCTCAGTATTGTGTAATTCCTTTTAACTGAACTTAATTAAGTTAAAACAGCGTCGATTCATTTTAATGGAATTCTACTTATTTTTTTGTTATTGCGTTATCCATACTCACAGTGAACATTACAACTTAATAAAGTTAAATAATTTACGTATGTTGTAAGAGCAATTTTCAATATAAATGAATTATATTGCAATAAAATAATCTTGTGTAGCTCAGTTTTAAAATGTTTTATTATTTTATTGATTTGGTCCATCAAGGCGCAAAAGAATATTTGAATTTATAAAATAATCGAAAAAGCGGTTATGATAAACGGGAAATTGTACTTCAATCTTTTTTCAATCCACAGTTCGGAATTAAAATCGAAACCCGATTAGGATTCACGGCTTTTTCATATGTATGCGATGGTTCGTGACCTATGCTTTCAATATTCTTAGCACCTTAATATCCAGATTTCCAGACGAAGTCCAACACGTTTTAGGAAGAAATTATAAGTTAATTATAAACATGCTGGACCCGATGGGGATCGAAGCCTCGACCCGTTGATTAGAATAGAATACAATAGAAATACGTTTATTCAGACGACAATTAAAACTTATTCTTCAAACATACAAATTTAATTACATTTTAAATTACACCAATATAGTTGCCTCTTAAATGGAAGCCACGCAGCTACGCTGAGACTTATGTCCCAACACTGATATTCTGTGGCCCCTTCAGAGGCTGAGCTAACGCAGGCGCAAGTAGCAATGTATTATTATTGTTTTGTATGGATTTTAAAATCAACTGAAATCAGGTCTAAGTTCAAATCATTTGGAAATAAAGATAGTTTACTAAATCGTATAATATAGAAGTGTTTGTTTTGTAAACTTGCGAATGGCAAACGTAAATATTTATCGTAATTAATTAATTTGTTTTATTATTTGTCACAGTTCGGTTAGTGCGACAATTTATTAGTCTGAATTACATAAGACCATAGTGGCGAAGGTTAGATAAAGTTTAATAACATTAATTAAATAAATGGTCCATATATTATAATACCTCATCCAGTGTAACACGTAAGTTGGATAGAAATATTCGTAGTTTGAAGACTTTAATATTTTTCACATAGCATGGCATTATATAAATTGAAAACCGATTATAAAATTTTAGGATACAGGCTGGACTTAAACATTCCATGATAGTGCTCTAACCATTTCATTATAATTTGGTTTAGAGTCCCGCTCGTGACGTTTTCTTTTTCTATCAATAGTTGATTGTTCTTCATTTTTATTTTTACGGAGGTAGGAAGGCGAGTTAATTTCTAAATTCGACTCAAGCTCGTCTAGAAACTGTGACGTTTACGATCCTTTGCAGCAAGCAGCCTTGGTCACGGGGGACGGAGATGTATTTCACGTTTAATTTAGCGATGTTTAAGAATCGTTTTGGCTTTGAGATTCTTATGTTGTAAAGCTAGATCTATCCACTTTTGTACTCATACCATGCTATAGGATTTGGAATTTAAATTAAAGACTTTCAATTTAAAACGCGTAATACATTGATTAGTTTATTTTTACTTCATATTACCTTTGACCCGACGTTTCTTTTATTTGGGATAGAGATATTTAGATGGATTTAAAACATAATATATATTCACAAAATCATAGTCACGGTCAATAATAATTACTTGTACTCATTGGCCTATTGTACTGATATCTTTACGTAGAAGGTCAAAAGATCGTAGTGACAACCAGATTGAAGTAGGCAGATTTATCTATACTAATATTATAAACATGGAGAGTTTGTGTGTTTGTTTGAACGCGCTAATCTCAGGAACTATCGAATTATTTTTTTGATTAGCACATTTATCGAGGAAGGTTTTAAACAATATAACATTACCGGTAAGAACGAAAAACATTGAAAAAGTGGGAGAAATGGAGAGAATTATTCATTTTAGGGTTTTCCTTGCGTGTGTTGCAAAAGCGGTTCAAGATACCAAAATAATGTGTATAAAAAAATGATTACCCTTCTAATGATCTAAAAAAAAGCCGCGACGCTATATGTCTATTTTTTAAGATTAACTTGCAAGGACGACGGAACGCAACTAACATCGTGGGTAACACCTCAAATTCTTAAAGATGAGAAGGTTTGGAAAAACAAATTTTGAAGCCCGAAAATGTCTATTCTTATCGCTCTGTTCTTTATAGATTACTAGCTGTAATTTGTTTTAGAGGGTGACAGCATTTTTATCATTTAAATAGAATCTACATGAAAAACCCTTTTAAACGTTTTTTTTTTTACATACGATTTAAATCTATTTATTGAGAATGCTTGCACCGCTAGAACAAAATATCACAGTTACTAAAACTACTTTTTCTCTTAATATGGACTAGTTAAAAAAAAAAAAAAAAAAAAAAAAAAAAAAAAAAAAAAAAAAAAAAAAAAAAAAAAAAAAAAAAAAAAAAAAAAAAAAAAAAAAAAAAAAAAACCCAAAAAAAAAAAGGGGGGGAAGAGGAAGGGGGGGGAGACACCCCCCCCCCCCCCCCCCCCCCCCCCCCCCCCCCCCCCCAAAAACCAAACAAAAAAAACAAAAAACCCCCCCCCCCCCCCCCCGGGGGGGGGGGGCCCCCCCCCCCCCCCCCCCCATAAAAAAAAAAAAAAAAAAAAAAAAAAAAACCCCCCCCCCCCCCGCCGTTTTTTTTTAAAAAAAAAAAAAAAAAAATAAAAAGGGGGGGGCCCCCCCCCCGGGGGGGGTTTAAAAAAGGGGCCCGGGCCCCCCCCCCCAAAACCCCCCCCCCCCCCCGGGCCCCCCCAGGTTTGGCACAGTACATTGATAATAGTGATAACTACTTACGGATCAAACGGCGGGTATGACGGCGAGTACGTTCCAGGGCCAAAGTAGTTAGCTGATATAGACAACGGCTGGACATGTGCTTGGCCCATAGGACCTGGGTGAAAAGCGTCTCCGTATAGCCCCTTTCCATACGGCGTACTTCGAAAAGGCCGCTTCATCCGCCGCCGCCTTCTAAAGTTCCCGTTCTCAAACATATCACCGCATTGTGGATCTACAACAATGCTTAACTCACAGCAGTTCCACTTATAGCTCTACTAAAAACGCTAGCATATCGCAAATTGCAAATTCGCTATGCTTACAACTAACGGGAAGTACTTCCGATGTCAAACAATAGTAATTCCATGAATTAATTTAAAAAATAACGTAATCGGACACGAAAATACCATTGTTCAATTTACGCTAAGATAGCTTTTTATAACGAGCGACGTATTAAAATGGCATTTCTCCTTCAATTGAAAAAATATGGCGCTAGCGGCATTTGCGACACTTATATCAATACTTCGTTACTAATAAAGGCAAATACATCGCATTTCAACCCGTTAATGTTTAATTTAAAATTTTGCTTACCAAGTGTCCAGTAATTTCCCTTCCGCTCGCCGCCGCCCTCTCGCGGGACTTTGATGAAACACTCATTGAGGCTCAAATTGTGACGGATGGAGTTTTGCCAGCCCTTTTTGTTCTTTTGGAAGTACGGAAACTCTTTGGTGATATAGGCGTATATTTCACTGAGGGTAGCCTTCTTAGTCTCGCTGTTCTGTATAGCCATTGTAATTAGAGCTACATAGGAGTACGGAGGTTTCGTGGCGTCTGACTTCTCGCCGTTCCCAGCGCTGGACCCACTAGATGGCTCCGTCTTTGGTTCCGAGTTACTTTAAATAATGCCAGTAATTTTAATAACTAATTTGTACCTGGTACCAACTACCAAGTATACAAAAACTTGTGATAATATTCTATAACTATTAACTTTAGTTTAGTAGTGAAATCCCGTATGAAATGCCCCTAGGGGCATGGGGCAAACACATTTTTGTGTTCGCTTTACTGATCCTTTCTTTAATAGGTAAGTAGTTGATCAGACTTCTGTACCCTGCCCGACCGAAACAATTCTTGTTTCCCTGGGATTCGAACCTGTCGCGCATAACGCAATGCTAGGCAATACGTTTAACCACTTGAATAAAGAGGCGGCACATATTGTTTATATTGAATTATACAAAAAACCGTTAATTATCGAAAAAGAAATAAATATGTTTTAAGTTGAATGTTAAATTTTGATCTACATGATTATTATTATTATTACGACAAGTTAAGTCAATACCTTATAGCTTCCGACAGAGTAGTGGTTACAGCTGGTATGGACTTTACCCTGGAGACAAGAGGGGCATTTCCCCTGTCATAATGATTGCATGGGTTAGGTCTTTCCAGTCTTTTATCTGTAACAAAAGTAATATTAATGATTATAGAAGAGCCATCTTGAATTATTGCCAGAGTTTAATCCTTGCTTAGTATATTTATATTTAAAACTAGATTGTATATACTATTTCTTTTTTCATTGACAGAGTCTCATGAAACGTTCATTTCATGAAATAACTCAACAAACACGTTGCGCTGTTCTTACGTTTGGCGTTTTATATTTATTTAGACCCCTCCAGTTATGATGCTATACGTAGTTTACAAATATTTTGTAATAAAGATAGCGATAGAAGATAATGATTAAAAAGTGTTAATATAAATTAAAAATCGACTTTAAATTGAAACCAATTACTACACGGGCAGGACTCTCTGGTTGCTCTACAAATACCAATTGCAAAAGAGTAACAGCACGATATCGCTGTCGATCCCCGTTCAAGTCCTGCTCTTGTCGTTTTAAACCGAAAACGATATTTAATTTATATTTTATTATCGTCTACAAAAACACGTCCAAATTATTAAGTGCTAATATTTTTAAATTGAAATCTAAAACGTCAAGATAATATAAATTTCGTTAACACTTGTCGCACCACCCTGTATTACATGTTAAGCAACATCCTGTACACTGTCGGTACAATTGGATAGAATTACATACATACACTCGTATTCGCTGGCAAAAGTTGGCGAACGTGCCTCCCGATACGGTTTTCTCGGAATCACCGCTTTTGTTATCGGTTCCTGATAAATCAAAACAATACGCGCACGTGGCTACTGAAATACTCCAACTAATATTAATTCAATAACGAAAAACGATCTCCCTGTTTATTGTTGCTAATTGTTAGTTATCGTTTTGATAAATTACATTTTATAGAACAATTTCTCAACTTTGTAATCCAACTTATAAATGCTGTAATTGCGTTCTTCGCGTTTTGAGGAAGGAACGTGATTAACGACCCACCACGCTATTCCAGTAGCTTGGTGGGCTTCACCTAACTGGAAGGTCCGGAGGTCATCTCTTACTTCAAACTTCCAAATTCTCAAGTGACGTTTCGCCCAACCGAGGTTTCGAACCCGTGATTAACGAGGCAGTTTAAAATGGGTAATAGTTTTATTTTTTATTGGAAGCAGAAATGTTTTTTGTTGGAATAATAAGATAAAAGATACATAGAAATTCAAGCCTTCAGTCTGTGGATTCCCAAATATTAAAAGCCAAAAATGGTTGAGAGCGCATCTTGATTAGATGGTATATAGCTGTGGTATTTCATCTACCAACAAGCCCACTTCACGCTTGTCTGTCGTCCTCTATCATAAAAAAGTTTTTAATGAAATAATGATTCCCAATCTACGGAAGGTAACTATTTTTATTGCATTATATTTTTGTGATTCCTAATTAAAAAATATATACCAACAAATATGACACAATTAGTACAATTGATATTTCAGATTTCAAAGCAAAAGTTTTTTAGCTTTGTAATTTTACGTATTTATTTGAGAAATGAAAACGTTAATCCCAGAATTATTCAGTTCTAAGAAGCTCTTACAATGTAGCGCGGAGTTTTTCACTGAAACCAGTGAAAATAACAATGATTTTATTTGTGAGGTACCCTGACTAAAAGTACTACAGATTCTATAACAATAAAAGTTATATGCATATTCTCACATAATACTAGCTGCGTCAGCGACTTTGTCCGCAAAAATCGCTATTTTGGGCATTCAAATTCGTTTTTGCAAACCCCTTCTTACAATCTTTATAAACTTAAGCTATCACCCACGACGTCGGTCGCGTCCCTTCCAGTCGTTCTTGCAAGTTAATCTTAAAAGATACACATATAGCATCGCAGACTTCTTTTAGATCATTTAAAGAGGATTAAGTCTTTCGTAAATATTTTTTGAACCGTTGAGGTATCTTGAACGATTCTTGCAGCGTACGCCTCGGAAACCCATAATAATGAATAATTTTCCCCACTTTTTTTTACATTACTCGTTGTTTCTTCGCTCCTATTAGTCACATTGCGATGTATTATAAACCCTTGCTCGATAAATGCTCTACGCACCACACAAATAATTTTTCAATTCGAACCAGTTCCTGTGATTAGCGCGTTCAAACAAACAAACTCTTCAGCTTTATATATTAGTATAGATTTGTAATAAGTTAAAAAAAAACAATGTTTTGGATTAAAAATAGCGTACGTTTCTAGCTTATCCCAATTGAGACTGTGTAATAGACATTTTTTTATTTAATGTTAGGATTAAAAAATCATGTGTTCTCCATCGATAAATTCTTTTCAGTATATATGATATGTAAAAAACATTGCAAAACAGTTGTCAGGCGAATTTTTTGTAGATATGTACATATTTATGAAAAGTATTATCTGCCGTTTACGCGAGTTACTGGCGTAACCTGCAGACAATACTTTTCAGTACGGTTTTGTCCGGGGCACGAACCAGCATGCGGTGGTTCGGATTTTCAACATACCCAGCACCCATTAAATATCCAGCTATCCAGACGAAGTCCAATTATTAATATATAACAATGAGAAACGTGTTGGTTTCGGAGGGGATCAAACCTACGATTCGTTGATTACATTAGCCTAAATTCTAATTAAAAGTTCAAATGTTGATAAAAAGGGTTTAATAAAACAGACAAATGCCCCATGCCCCGTACTGGGGAAACAGGGGCATTAAGACAAGACTACAAAATACAAGCCCAGCAAAGATGGAATGTGCGGGGGCACATATCGTGTTCAAAGCTGCGAACAGCTCTGACCATTGTGTCGCAGAGGGAACAATGCATCGTATTTATAAAACATTAAAGGCCGTATCGTTCGTGAAATTAATAACAAATAACAATTGAACGCTAGTTCGACTGGTGCGAATTACGATGTTGAGTAATTTAACTCGACTTTTTCTAATTATGCGAGTTAGCTCTTACGTATCAATGACGTCCTGATAACATTGTTTTGCAGAGCCATTGTATGCGCAATTTAGCATCTGGTCAACTGAAACTCGTATGCTGAAATATTCATAACTGGCTAACCTGGTAAGGAGCCCGCTGCCCCTATATTGTCGAATTAGATACTCGATGCGCGGCGTGGCGGCCACCGCCGGCATGCATTTTTATTTAAACTTCGTGATATCTTTTGAATGGAATGTCCGATTTCAATAATTAAAAAAGTAATCATCAGGTATTGAGACAGTCTTGAATATTAAATTGAATATTTATTCGGACATAAATGGTACGGATAACACGGTCTGATTTTGATCGGCATTTCTATCAATTTGTTTAAATGTAAAAATGTAGTTACAGCGACATAACTACAAACAATAGTTACGTATGACATATTCTCTCGCGATGTTTTTTGTAGATATTAATATATTTTATAATATTGTCGAAGATTTTTTTGTCCTATCATTAATACTTTTCGCAGCGTATGCGAAGAAAGACATTTTACGGTTAATTTTTTTTACGCCTTCCGTTGGTTTTAATAAGAATTTCTATAGATGTCTATAGAAATCAAGTACTAAATAAAGCCTATGTTACTCAGTGATAATGTAGCTTTCTAATGAAAAAAGAATTATTAAAATCGGTCCAGTACTTTTTGATTTTATCCGTTACATACAAAAATACAAATCTTTCCTCTTTATAATATTAGTAGGTATAGATATAGAAAACAAATAGAAATAGTAACATATTAAAAGAAATTGAAAAATAAACTTGCCTGTACATGAAACCGATCAGTGAAACGGACACAGAAATGTGTTCGCCCCATTCCCAACGAGGGAAACGGGAAATCGGAAAAAAACATTGCTCGTTGACTTGGCTAATTAGGTTATAAGTGTAAAATGGAAGTTTCATGTTACAATTAAGAGATAAGAGGACTTTTCGTTCCATGTAAAACAGGGGCTAGCTCCTAGCCTAGAGCCATAGTAATACAATCCTTCCAATCAATTAAATCCTAATATAACTCTACGTAATACAACGTTGGTACGCCATGCTTTAAGCGGTGTCCCGGCTTTTAATCCTGGAAAAGACAAATATTTCCATTCGGGCATGGCAGAGTTGTAAATACAATCCGTACATGTATCCCGATACAGTGTATCCGCCCATGCCTCTTAATCATTTTACAATTTGTTTATATCTCCAATGATTTTACAAAAATCTTACTAGGGGGTAGGGTAACTTACATGTACACTTAGTTGTATTTGGTACTTTAGTATAAAAATATGGAATATCAAATCGGTTATAAGAATTAGGGCTAGTTCGTATAGAACAACATATTATTTAGAAAATATTATTTATTACAAATAATTGAACTGTCAATAGCCGGTTACATTAATTGGATTTGGAGTAATACATATAGTTAAACAATTACACTTAAAAACAGGTTATATAGAAATTAGATTTGGACATAATTTCAAAGGCAGACAATTTGTTATATTATTAATATTATATTATATAACTAGCTGTGTCAGCGACTTCGTCCGCGAGAATCATTATTTTGCGCATCCAAATTCGTTTTGCAAACCTTTATAAACTTAAGCTGTTATCCGCGACATCGGTCGCGTCCCTTCCCATCGTTCTTGAACCGTTTTTGCAGCGTACGTCTCGGAAACCCATAATGATGAACAATTTTCCCAATTTTTTTCACATTTCTCGCTGTATCTTCGCTTGTAACAGAGCGATGTTTTATAGCCTATACTTTCTCTAGCCTTTCTCAATAAATGATCTAACCAACACAAAAATTATTTTTCAATTCGAACCCGTAGTTCCTGAGATTAGCGCGTTCAAACAAACAAACAAACTCTTCAGCTTTATATATTAGTATAGATAGATTAATACTGTTAAGTAGAATTCAAAAAAGTTAAAACGGAAACATTTTCATGGAAGTACCTTTACCCAAATCTAAAACAAACTTATGTGACATGTGGGCATATTCTGGCATATCCTCAAAAAACAATTTAAGCACTAGCATGAATCAGTGAGTTGGTGTTTATTTTTTATGATAGAGGAGGCCAGACAAAACAAAAGGTTCACTCGATAGTAGGCGAAACATCTTACGATTGTCTGTCGTGTGTGCCATACATTTCTTACACCAACGAGATTGACAAAAGTATAAGTTAAATACTTAACATTACAACGGTCTCCAACTTTAAGGCCGCATCCAAATTAATGTTGTCAAAGCAGTGTATACAGTAATGCATAATAGTATTGTGAATGTAATTTTAATTAAAGACATCGACACTACAAAAACATTATTATTTCAATCACGATAGAGGTCCAAAAATTAATTGTGACAAAGAACGTGTTTGTTTCGACGGACATATGACACGCAGTTTGTATTAATGTAAACTAAAGGTGATTTAACGAACCGCTTTATAATAATATCATGAAAGATTTTTGTCCTTGCTAAGTTATCAAATTTATAATTAATAAAATTATAGATTTAATAATATTTACGTGCTATAATAAAACCCGACAATAGTACCGTTTAGGAAAATCATTTTGAAATTTTGTTCAAAACAAATTGTAACTTAGTAACAATTTCAATTTTTGAATTTGGAATTAATAACAAAATACAATTTAAGTTAAGATAAATTGTGAGTTACAAGGTAAGGGGAAAATATTGTTAAACTCACACCATAACATAATACATAATACCTATAAATGGTCATGTTTCTGTGCGTAAGTGTAAATAAATATTGTAATTTACCCCATCAATGACAGTACTTTTACGTTGCCAATTAAAAATCCAAAAATTATTCTCTAACCGCTAACGAATCCAATATACTAAGGATCTATAATGATAATCAAGTTTACAGTTTCGCCAGCATTACCTGAGAGCAACTAGTATTTATTTCGTTGTTTTTGATGAAGGCATCACGATGTAACTGACATATCCTAGAACCCTAAAGTTTTACATGTGCCACCTGACAATACGCATTTGGCCAATATGGCAGATTAACTCGGCGACTCTTGTCGGGTTCAACTCGATACTTTAATCTACCTCTACTAATATATAGAGCTAAAGAGTTTGTTTGTTTGTTTGAACGCGCTAAACAGAGGGAAATGTGAAGAAAAAACGGGGAAGATTATTCATCTCTGTGGGTTTCCGATGCGTACGCTGCAAAAACCGTTCAATATATCTAATAAATATGTACAAAGAATTATTCCTCTTTAAATGAGCTAAAAAAAAGTCCGCGACACTTAATGTCTATTTTTTAAGATTACCTTGCAAGAACGACGGGACCCGTCTGACGTCGAGGAAAACAGCTTAAATTTATAACGATAAAATGGAGGTTTGCAAAAACAAATTTCGATGCCCAAAATAACTATACTACGCGGACGAAGTCGCTGACGCAGCTAGTACTATGTAGAAACACTCTGACTGATCATCACGGCGTTCGTAAATACAATTATTCACCCTCGTTCCGTACAACAGCTACGAATGAAATTCGTTCAATTTGAAAACTAATGGTTTTAACGAAGTAATCCTATTTGTTTTCTTCATGGTATGTAAAAACTTTATTTGTTTTAATCACTAACTTGTTTTAGAACTAAACGAAACAAATCTACTTTAGTTGAATTTTTACTTTAAAAGTCCATTCGATATCAAAATGGTTTTCCAATTTGCGGGGGAAGGGGCGTCAATTATCGAGAGGAAATGTGGCAGACATCACTTTTTCTCTGCCTCCTGCCCGACATTCTCTTGAACTTAACACAAATTGCTAAGACACTTTTAACAGTTTAAAACGCGAAATATAACTTATGACATTTTTATTTTAACTGCGCCCGACCCTTCGTGGCCACGACTGGTGCAAAACGTTATAAACACCGGTACTTAACGCCATACAAAGGAGAAAATTGAACCAAGCTGTCGGTCGTTTCATAAAAATAAATTACTTTTAAAATATTGTTCCTTGTCCCAGAAAGTGTCAAATACCATGCGCCGATAAGAACACAAAGGGTTATTAAGTATTTAATAATTACGGTTCAGAATTCGACACCGCGATGATAGAACTGTAGTAATGTACATATACAAAGGGTAACTGTTTTATAATTAACTCAATGGTCTAGCTAGCTAGCACACCATTGCAGATTATTCCAAGTTTAAACCCGGATCAGGAAAATATTGATTCTATGACTCTTCTTTTTCGGTACAGGCTGTCCGCCTACGGAATGAGCTACCACTCACTGTCAGACTCTCACAGAGTCACACTATATTTAAGGTCAGGGTCAAGCAATACTTTCTCAGTAATGCTGTGTAGCCTTGGCCTTATTGGCTTTAAAATTAATCACATTTAGGATCTTCATATGCTCTAGGTGTTAAGTGTTTTAATGTAAATGTGTTATTTTAATGGAAAAAATGGCCATAGGCGATAAGGCCGCCTTTGCACAAACATGTTTTATTTTGTGTATATAATTCTAAATATGTTTTTATGTCTATGTTTGTGAAATAAAGAGTTTTTATTATTATTATTAAGATTAACAGGTTGAAACATTTTGTACAATAAGTAACCCTTACTATGAGTTTGCATAACTCGATAGCGAATGACACGAAAATTTGTAATCGCCAAACATATTTAAGTGATAGATGACTAGTTGATATCATGTTTGCAATGTATGACTTAATCAACGGGTCGTGGTTCGATCCCCACCGGGTTTATACTATTTTTTTTTGTTAATTTTATTAAAACATAATGGATTACGTCTGGAAATCGGAATATTATGTGGGTGGTAGGAATATCGAAATTCCGTCCGGACTATGAACACGCAACACATAAATAAGCTGCAAAGTTTTATCGCGTTTCGGTTTCTGCGTATGGATTTCCGAATATCCAAAGCTGAAAATAGGTTGGCAGCATCTTTAATCAACTGAACCCTATGCTCGTCTGTTCTCTAAAGAATACATTTAATAATTTAACTATAATCCAACGTTTTATAACTATGAAGCACACGAAATGTTTCGAACTT